CACACTCAATTCTGAAATTTTCTACCTGTGCAATATGAGTTGCTGAGTTTATCATTGACTTCCAGTTCCTTCCATCTGAAGTGTGGTACCTAAAATATATAGCTAGATGTCTCAGACTTGTTGTGAGGAACCATGAAGTGATGTAAATAAAAGCACACTGAAGCTCCAGTTGCTACAAACTCTAAAATTTGTCACTGGTCAGCAGACAAAATGGAAAGAATGTAATCACTCACATCTTGAATCCCTACAGTGAAACTTAGGGACCTCATTGTTCTTTTGAATATTTAGTGTGCCCTAGTTATCTGTGTTTGATTTTTAATATTGTGTTCATACAAAGAACATGATATCCTCAATATAGCTAAACTGTTCGAGTACTAGATATTTCATATTATCAATCCCTTTACAAGACTGTCTGAAAAGAAAATAAGGTTTCAAAAAGGGCAGCAAATCAAATATAATTCTTCTTTCCATCTTCTAAAACTTCGAAAAAAGTATTCAAGTTAAATCTATAGGAGACAGTAAGGAACAAGTCTAGGTAATCAGACTAATAAGGGCCAGGGGAATATCTTGGTTTTGAAATACAGTGGAAACCTCAGAACACTGGTATTAGGTTTTGTTGGGGTCAGGAGATAGATTCAAAAACAACGAAAAAACTTCATTTGACTGAAATACTGTGCTGGATGGGGAACCTTTAATAAATTTGAAATACCAGTAAATCTGTATGCAAAACACTCTCCTGGGAATATTTTGAAGACTCAAGAGAGGCCTAAAGGGATCCTGAGATTCACCCAGAATTCCCATGCATGACTGATAGTTAGCAGCAGCTATTTGTTTACATGGGCCTAAGCAGAACCCACACCAGGCAATCATCTCAATGCCCCAGATTGACTCTTTGAGGATTTATCTCCACTTGCTTCCAGAAAAGAGCTTGTGGTGCTATTATGTGCTGAATGAAGTTGCTGACAGAGGAGGAAGCAATTCACCTAATCAATCCAAGCAGAAGTATTACTTAGCAATGGAGGCCTTTAATCAAATATAGTTTTCAGTAGAACCTATAGATATAAAACAGATAAGAGAACTTTCATAAAGTAAGCAGGGCAGGAAGGGGCAGAGGTCCCCTTGCATGCCCATCACCCAGGGCTTTTCCATGAGGACCTACAGCTCTTTGGAGAACACTTATAAAATCACAGTTCTAGGTGATCATTAGAGCTGCTGAGATTGAACATTAGCCCTGAGCTTCCTGCTAATAAAAAGAAAAAGGGAAACATTATGAATTATATATACTTTTTCTTCTTCAGATTAAAAAAAGTTCTTATCAGTCTCTGGAATATTCAAATTTAGTATAAGTTTGCTTATTGGAATGGTAGGAGTGGCCAGATAGCATGTGCTCAGAAAATCATCATTTTCTTCAGAATTAGATAATAGTAGCAGGTATCTGTTCTTTTCCTTTTTTTTCTTCTTTTACTGACCAGTAGCCGATCCCTCATGTTTAGAAATTTTGTATGATTCTTGGTGGAAAAGCGTATTTCTTAATAGAAGCTAAAATAGCCAGGTACTCAGTTTTATAGCCCCTGCCCCCTTGTAGCTAGCATAGGGCTGGTGACTGCAGCTTGGCAAATCAGATGCTAATCATATAAAGAGTATTTTCTGAGCAACAGGGACGGCCAGCAGTGTGGAAGATGTGGTTCTGCTGGTGTTTGGTGGAAAGCTGTGGCATTTTTACTCAGCACCAATGGCACTGTCCTCGATGAACTGCCTCTGTGGTGTGATTGTGGCTCCGGTGCTGACTCTTTGGTTCAGAGGTCCCCTTTTCTCACCCAGCTTCCAGCTTTCCTATCCATTCTTGAAGCTACCCATCATTCTCCCAATAAATTTCTTTCCTGCTCAAATCAGCCAGAATCTATTTCTGTTACTTGCAACCAGTTAGATTTCCAACCAAAATGGTAATCTGAATTTTAGGTCTGCTATGAAAAAGACAAAATACAGTATATTGCATAATACTTGTATTTAATTTAGAAGAATTCAACTGTATGGGCTCGTTGGACAAGAGTATGAGAGAGATGAGTAATATTCTTTTATTTGTTGTTATCCTTGCCCGTTCAAATCGACCAAGGCTTCTAATGTCCCTGAAAAATGAGGCCTTAGCCAAAATACAGAGATATAAAAGAAAAAAATCTTAGGTTTGGGCTTCAAGAGACCCAGTCTTAGTAATTTAAAGGTAAGTGAAGAAGTTGTCATGGGTAGTTTTGACTTCTATATTTGCCTTTTGCCCATGCTTGATTACTTTACAACCCCCCTTCCTAAGATGAGGCTCCACTATAGGCAGCAACAGTGAATGCTCAAGACTCTTAACTGTACAGGGACTGGCACCCACCCATTTTCCACACAGAAGCTCTCCTCTCCTTGCTGTTCTGCGTAACCTAGGAAAATAGTACTGGTTTAGAGCACTGACATTTTAACAACTCTATTTGAAGACCAATGTCCTGGAGGCAGGCAATTTGACATCTCAAATCTAGTTCCAAAAAGGAAAATCACAAATACTTCATAGATGATGATGCCTTTGTTCATATGTTCTTCACTCCTAATTCATTGCTCGTGCCTGTTTCCATGAGAGAGAGAAACTGGAGAGATGAGGGTGGGGGTTGGGGAGGGGAGGCAGAGGAGGAAGATAGGAGAAAACAAAGGAGAGAGAAAAGGAGAGGGGAAGCAAGAGGTCATCTATTTCAAGTTTCACATCAGGGTTCCGTAGTCTGTTCAGGCTACTGTAACAAAATGGCATAGACAACAAATTTATTTCTCACAGTTCTGGAGGCTGGAAGTCCAAGACCAGAGTGCCAGCACGGTTCTGGTAAGAGCCCTCTTCTGGGTTGCAGGTGTGGCAGAGGAAAAGTAACCTTCCTCCTGCCTTTAGAAAGTTCTTCTGGCTGGACTAATATAATCAAAACGACATAGGACAGATTAACAGGAGAAAATCAAGTGTTAATGTGTGCACACAGAGAATTCACATCAGTCTGAAAATTCCAAAGACAGTTAAGGCAAAGCGAGGTATATATGTCATTCTGGACTAAGGGGTCTAGGATTTCAAAGAGAAGTAAGGCAATTTACAAGGAGATGCATGAATTAATGTTTAGTAAACCAATGTTTATAGGGCCCTCTCGAGAAACAATGGGACAGGAGGATTATGATAAAATGGACCTTGGTTCCTCCCTGTCTACCACACCAAGGTCATATTAGTTGTCTATGATTATATCTCCCTTCCTAGAGCAGGTCCTTAATTCTTTTAGGCACTTAGAGGGAAAGTCAAAGGTTTATCTTGAGTGTTTCTTTTCTTAAACATAACCAGCTGCAAATAATATGTCAAAAGGCATATTTTAGGTTGGCAAACTGTTTCCACTCACAGACTGCCAACTTCTCATTGTATCCTCACATGTGAAAAGAAAGTGAGCGAGCTCTCTGGAGTCCTTTAATAAGGGCACTAATCCCATTGACGAATGCTCCATCCTCATAACCTAATTACTTCCCAAAGGCCCCATCTGCTAATACATTGGGTATTAGCATCTCAACATACAGAATTAGGGAGATACAAACGTTCAGTTGCCATCCAGCATTGGACTTTTTATGATCATCTATATCTTCAACTAAAACTGTAAGCATATTAAATTCATCTGGAAACTCCAGACTTGGAAATACCAATACTTTAAATACATACCTATCTTCCCCTAATTTTAACACCTATACATCAAAATAAAATGTTCACATGAATTACATAAAACCTGCTTAGTAATTAAGGAAAAGGTTACTATCTCACTACGCCCTAATAGATTGGAAAAAAAAAAAAAATCCCTCTAACTCAGGAGTTGGCAAATTATGGGGCTGAGACAAATCCTTCCTGCTGCCTAAATAAAATTTCAAAACACAGCCAAGCCCATTTATTTATGTATTGTCTGTGGTTGCTTCTTCACTATGGCAAAACCTAAATAATTTACTTTCTGTCCCTGTACAAAGAACATTTGTCAACCCTACTAGAGTTGAAAGGGAAAAGTTTAAGGCCTTTCTATGAGGGCTGCCCTAAGTGTGATCTGTTGGCTGCTACTGGCCCAACTGTCTACTACTGAAATTGGGAGGGTTTATAAATCTTTTATAGCATTTTAACATTGCCCAGACATCTAAATATGACCGCTTTTCGAGTAATTTTTACTGTAATTTTTAAGAATTCAGTTGAAGCATAAGAAGGTAACTACATTGTACTATTTAAACTAATTCACAGATATAAAACATTTGATTTTTAAAATATAACCAAAATGAGACTGAAAGATTAGAAATTTAAAAATTCAGAAGTCACAATTTTCCTATAAGAAAAATATGAGATAATACCCATGGATTTTAACTAGGCCTTAAAAAAGATAACAAAATTTAGCCCTAGAGATTTCATCCGTAGCATAGATTTTGCCTTGAAAAATAAAATGAAACTAAAAAATGTAGAGCCAGGGAAGCTTAAAACATTGTCCCAGAAGCTGGGGTCCCAGTGAAGCTAATTCTGTTGCTGTATTAAGGCCCCAGTATCAGAGAGAAATGAAACATGTCCATCTCCCTTCCGTTAAGTGCCTTTCAATCTACTTGAATACTGCTCAGTAGTTCTTTCTTATCTGTGGGGGATACATTCCAAGATGCCTGAAACCACAGACAGTACCACACCCTATATGTTACGTTTTTTCCTATATATGATGATAAAGTTTAATTTATAAGTTAGGTACAGTAGGATTTAAAATAACTAATAAAATAGAACAATTATAAAAATATACTATAATGAAACTTATTTGAATGTGGTCTCTCTGATAACTGATCTTATAACCTAGCCAATCACTAAGTGACTAATGGGCTGAGAGTGAACACAGAGTGGATATGATGGACAAAGGGATGATATACATTCCGGGCAAGACAGAGTGGGAAGGTGAGATTTCATCATGCTACTTAGAAAGGTGAGCAATGTAAAACTTATATCACTTAGTCAAGATTTATTTCAAAGCCTGAAATCATTTAAACTAATCAAACAGTACTACTGAAATTTCTTACAATACCACTTTAATATATAAAACACTATTAACTCTTAACTCTCATAATATGCGATTTTTCAAAAGCCATGGCTATTTAACAAAATGTAAGGTGACAAAATATCAAAGAATTTTCACTTACTGTAGACATAATTAACAGTAATTTATTCAAACACAAATCTGTTTTTACACTTTCCATATTTACCTTAGTTTCATAAAGCCACTGATAATTGCGGTTTATTTCAAGTATAGGATTTCTAACATTAAATTACATTTCCTAAGTCCTTTTATAGAGAAATGAGACACATACTAGTTCACCATACATTCATACACCAAAAGGTAAAACAACCCAACTGAATTTATCCATGCTTTGCCTTCTCCATCAGCTTTAGATGTTATTCTAATACTTTGTATTTTTGTTAAAATCAGTTCTCTGTGATTAGGAAAAAATGATTTATAACATTATCTTTAAAAATACCTTCTATGTACCTGTTTCCATTCACCCACCTAATCTGGTGCCAAAGTGAATAAGGCAGTGTACTATTTCAGGGACCCAACAATCAGTAATCTTAACTTCCTAAGTATCAAAAGATTTCAATTTTCTGCCAAAATAAGTTTCAAGTGGCCAAAATTCACCTCTTAGTTGTTAGGGGGGAAAAATGTGTAGTATGAAGATTTAACTAAAACTTTATATTTATACCTTTTCCCCAAGCTACAAGCACTCTTATCATTAAATTATGTTGTATTTTCACAACTTCAAGTTTGCTTGCTCAGGAACATATAATTATATTAAAAATAAATAATTCTTTTTCAAAGTTTAATTGGCTTTTAAAAAGTTTCCCTAATAAGAAAAACAAGTATTCTGTGTTCTTTAAGAAACTGGAATATCTGAGTAAACTTCTGCATGTTCATTTAAACTTTAAGGAAACCTAAAAATGAAGCTTTCAAGTTTTTCTAAAATGCAATACAGATGTGCACTTAATCACTATTCATATAGTGAAGGGATGGAATGGTAGAGACAGATGCAATCCTTTGTAAGTCGTAGGATATTCTAAATGGAAAACCTGATGTTGACAATTGTTTAAAAAAAAAAAAAGAAGTCAAGAAAAATGTTGAATACCTACTCTTAAAAAGAGATAAGTGTTATACAACAGAAAAATGAGACAAACAAATTTGAAAAACACTCATTTTAATGTTTTAAAAGACAGACAAAAAATGATAGGCAAAGGGAGTCTAGACCAATTAGAACTAAGGCAGGTGTAACAAAAATCAATACAATACAATGTTTTGCTCTCATTAAAGAAATCACTAAAATAAAATTTCAAATTTCAGCATGTTTGTAATAATATTAACGCACAAAATATCAAAAATACAAAGTATGAATTTTCCCCCCTTAGGTTTATAATAAACTATCAGACTGTTTAATGCATTTACTTTTATAAGCCTTCTGTTTAGCAGCACATGCTATATAAGTACATAGGTTAGTATTTTACCATGAGAATTAATAGTTTTCATCTCGAACTAGTGACTTGTCTTTTTACCCAGTTATATACATTTCATTTCCATTACAAGACACTTAAAACCTTCCTGGTGGTAAATTTTAATCAACATATTGCATAAAATGAATCTTGGTTTTTAAAATGAACCTTTTTAGTACTGTAGCATGATGGGTTGAATTAAACAGTTGAAGCATAATAAGGTAACTACATTGTACTATTGAAACTAATTCACAGTTATAAGAAAATGTTTGATTTTTAAAATATAACCAAAATGAGACTGAATAGTTATGACCAGTAAAATACTAGAAAACAGTGAATGAATAAATAAGATGATTTTTCATCAGTGGCCATTCATTATTTTGCTCTTAGAAACCTGGAAGAAATTGTCTTCTTTGAGTTTCAAATGTTCTGGCAAATCTAGTCGTTTCTTAGCTTCCTCAATATCACCTTGAATTGCTGAAATAAGTGATTCTGCAGAAAGAACATACCAGGTAAAGGTGATGAAAAACTATTGCTACACTTTTTACTACTCCTTTGTTCAGCTTCTCCTAAACATTCTACTTGTAGGCTGGCAGTGTCTCTCTGGCACAGGGTAGATGTCTAATAAATGTTTGCTCTATCCCTCCTTCAATGGTACACAAAAGACGTCCTTTATCTTATTGCAATTTCTTAGAGAAAGGCATTAGCGAAAAGGTACATTGCAAATACTAAATGGAAGAAACAAATATTCACTATCTATTCTCTTCAGTATTTACACTTGTAAAAGAAACTCTACAATATAATTTAAACTATCACACTACACTAAGATACTTGATACCATTTGTTTCAAGTGTTGATTTACACCAAGCATTGCAAAGCATACATTATTCATCACAGCTTATTCTCACTTATTCCTTAAAATACGAAAAGGAAAAGAAAATAAAGATTTTATTAATTTCATATTGTTGGAGAGGAAGCCAGCCAATCTATGCTCAGGACTTACCATGTGACCCCAGCCAAATTACTTGACACCTCTGTGTCAATTTCCTCATCTGCCAATGGGCAAAATAATTCCTCATAACGTTGTTGTGGAAATTAAATGAGTTAATTCATGTAAGGCACTTAAAACAGTGCCTGACACATATTAAATGCTCGAATATTACCTGTCCTGCCATGGTTATTACTAGTAGAAGCAGAAGTAGCTGCAGTAATACTTACGGTCTGAATAAGAACTTACCTAAAGAATCAAAGTTCTTTTCTGGTCTGAGGTAGCCAACGATGGCCACATTGAGAATTTCCCCATAGAAGTCCTCTTTGAAGGTATGCATGATATGAGTTTCCTATAGTCATGATAAAAAAGAATTACCATCAGATTACAGAGTACCTGAAATCTGAAATATATCTTCACATTTATGGTAGAGTAATTTAAATGAAACAAACTTCATTAAATTTTGAAAGACAAATTAAAATCTAAGTACAGTTTTTCCTGAATTCTTCCACTGCTCCTGTTCCTGCCCGACCATACATGTAAAAATTATTACTGAGTAAGGGAGATATTATACCACAGATGGGGTATGATTTGCTGTTTATAGAAAAAACTAACATACACTTAAGTAATTAAGAGTCCTATCAAGATGAAAAACCCGAGCAAAGACAACAAAGAAGAAATGAGAGAAATATTGATGTTACTACTAATTAAATTGGTTCTAAAGTTATCAGGATCCACACATCTCTGACACATGCCAGTCATAGAAACTTTTGAGGGTTAGGAGAGCTGAAGATTGATGTGAAGGCAAAAAAAATACCACCCGTGCTTGACCTAGGAATGCAACAACAAATGGGTAGAGATGTGCTGAAGCAAAGGAGGTAGAAGATGCTCTGGAATTGGAATTTTAGTAGGCTCCTATAAAGTGAAAAGGCAGGAAAAAAAATGTAGAGAGCAAGCAAATACACAAAAGTTGAGGCTGAACTAGGATAGTGGCACTGAAAATTGAGAAGTTTACACGGTTGAGAAACATGTAACTTGAGACCAGAGGTATATTTTGAAGTGTATGACTTAAGAAAATCTATTCTATGAAATGATCATTAAATCTGAAGCATATATTACAAGTCAGCTAAGAGTATTGCTAGATAATTCAGTAATAAAACCAATAAAGAGATAAGAGCAACTTACACTTAATAAGAATGGCCTATTAAAAAAAAAAAGTATAGCATGAGACTGATAGTAAGGCAAGTTTTCTGTTCTCTCAAATAAAATAACCTAGTCTTTCATACCTTTTTGGTTTGTTAGGGGGTGGGGTCATGACCTTTTGAGGTCATTAAAATGGGCTCTCTTCAAGTGTCGCTAAGTAAAACTTTGCATACAACTTAATGGGATTTATAGATTTTTATGAAGCCCATTTAAAAAAAAGGGGCCTTGATTTAAAAATTTTAAAAGAAAAAAATTCTTTGTAATAAAGCTCTTATTAGAGCTTTGGTTTTGTTAAGATTAATAAATTGCTTATAGAAATTATTATGTTAAATTCAAAGTGTTTGTAAGGCAGTACTATAGTAAAAGCACTGAGTTAAGAATCCAAAGTCTGGGGTTCCACATTTGGCTAAAGGCATATCTTAACCTCTCTGGGACTCAGTTTTCTCATCTGTAATTGAGGAGTTTGAGTTAAAAGACACAAAGTGTCTCATGGCTTTGTACTAAATTTATGTGGCCCAATAAATTTGACTTGCATTCTTTCTTTTCAGTAAAATATTGAATAAAAAGAAACTAAGATATTTAAGACCTTGGACACTATTACAAAACATTGAAACAATAAAGATGTCTACTTTCCCTAAACTGATCTACAGATTCAATGCTATGTCAATTAAAATCTTGGCAGGTCTTTTTTAAATGATGGAAACTGACAAATGATTCTAAAATTTATATGGAAATCTGAAAGGGCAAAATTATCCAAAAATTCTTGACAACAAAACTGGAGGACTTATATAATAAGAGAGACTTATTACAAAGCTATGGAAATTAAGACAATGTGATAATGGCCCAAGGAAAAACTAGGAGATGGACCAAGTCAATGTATGAGTGTGTTCTGAACTCACACATACAAAGTCACTTGATTTGAGACCAAAGTGACACTGCAGTGGTGTCAGGAAAGGACATTATTTTCGATACATGGACTGAGTGAATATCTATAAAAAAAAAAATTAAGTTTTGACCCGTTATCTCACATCTCACACCATACTCAAAAATTGATTTGATGAGAAAAGCAATACAAGCTTTTAGAAACTCCCAAGACATTCCTCAATTGGCTCTACAGTAATAGTTTGTTATGTGAGTACTAATAAGGAAAATTACTCATGGAATAGCCTTCCTCACCTGTTATTTCCTCCCTCATCCTACATAAAAATATTTTGTGTACTTTCATAAATTCTTTTCCTTATTACGTAGTTCTAGGCCATTTCTATAGCTTGTGCAAGCACTTAGACCTTTGGTTTTCCAACTGTGACACACTTCTATAAACTCTTCAAAGAGGATGATATTTATATGAACTATAACTGTTTTTGTCACACACTTGAGCTAACAAGAAGATTGAGCTATTATCTAGCAGATTAAGCATTTCAGCTGTGTGGGTCCTGTAAAAAGAGCAGACAATACCTTCAAAGTGGTTCAAAAGAGAAAAAAAAAAAGCATCATCTCTCAATTTTATCAGAAAGCACCATCCCTGTAGTAAGCAGTCCTACCTTAAAAGGGCGACCAAGTAATTAATCGGTGAATGAACTACGTAACTGTGGCAAGCTCAATTTCATGAGGCATGCTCTTAAAAACTTTACTTTTATCTACAGTAAAGGTAAACAAATACATGGGCAGTCATAAAAATTAGTATTATTGTAATCTTGGTTAGTAACTTTTTATTTTCTACATAATTCTTAAAAATATATAAAAATTATTAATCTATATTATTGGGTATGCAATATATAAAAATAATTTATGAGTTTGTATATACTATTAAAGTTGGTGTAAATTCAAATAATTTAATTTTAGAATGTTAAATACAATCCCCATTATAATCAGGAAGAAAATATCCATAGAAAATACAAAAAAAAAAAAAAA